CTCCCTCCCATTTCCCCCCCCCCAGTCCTCATCTCTGTGTCTTTCATACTAGTTCCTCATGATCTCGGAAGCTAAGCAGGGTCGGGCCTGGTTAGTACTTGGATGGGAGAACGACTTTTCTATTTAGTAATATAGAAATATTTGGAGTTGGTGAGGGGTTTTTTTACATACATACTAGAAAGCCGATAAATAGGGACACATCATAGTCAGAGTATGGCTTACAGGACCCAGAGCTCCCATGCACCCTGGATTGTGTGTGGGGACCCCCAGCCCCCAGAGAGTTGTGCAGGGCAGTGACTCTGGACAGGCCGCTGAAACCTCGAGTGTTTGACTTAGCTATAAATTATGAATTAGCAAAAAAATTTGTATCTTTTTGAGGTAAAAACCTCATAATGGTTATGATTTTGTTTTCAACAGATCCCAGTAGATGAAGATTGAGGGAAGCGAATATCAAAGCCAATAGTTTTTCATGACTGGGAGTGTAGGCCTGGTAATTGGGAATGTTGGCAGAAAGGTCTATGAGCAGACTTTGGATGAAGTGTACCTTTTCCTGAGTGCACCTCATATTGCAGCTTTGTCTCTGAGAGTGTGCGATCTTGTTGGCCCAACAAATATAGGCCAAGAACATTTGGGTAGTTAAAAACAGTCTGATGTTAAAACAAAGATTTGAGTAATTATCTAGCGATTACTCAGTAATCTCTAGTTTGTTTCTTAATAGGTTTAACTGTAGTATTCTAAATATCATGCTTTCATCTCAAACAATGATGAAAGCTTCAATATAAATAATTTAATTGTTCTTTTAAGATAGGATTATAGTTTGGAGCACAGGATAAAATCTGTCATGTAAAATCAACATCATCACAACCATCTATACAAGATGCCTACAAATAGAACTTCTCTTTAATTTTAGAACTCCATTCTGTTTTTTGTTTTACAGGAGACAATTTTTGAGGTAGTGTTCCACAACAGCCCTTCCTTATTGTTCTTTTTATCTCTTTCTGTGTTCTAGTGGCTCTGAAAAGCAGACGCGCCTGGGGAGCGTTGCAGAGCTCACAGGACCTCACTGCCCTGGCAGCCTCTGTTCACTTCGCCTGAAACACCTCCCCCTCCACACTGCCACCTCAGAGCTCCGTCCCTGGAGCAGGGTCCGGGAGCTCTGCCCCTGGAGCTCTCACGTCCCCTTTTCACGAAGCTTTCATGATCCCCACGAATCCGAGGAGATTTTTCTCTCTTCTGATGCCCATAAGCCTTAGCATCCTTTTATCTCCCATTTTACCATTCCACTCTCTGCTTTGGGTTATATTTATCAGCATGCATGTCTTTTCTTCAAACTACCGTTCTTGCAAGTAGGGGCCTTTGCTTTTAATCTTTCACAATGTCTAGCACATGGCAGGTGCAAAATAATTCTTTGTGGAATAAATAATCAGGTTTTCCCCTTGTTAGTTTATCCTGTTTTTATGTTAGTTTGTTTGACATCTGTTTTATTTGGCATTTTAGTGCATAGAGTTTTTCTGAAACTTACCTGACCTCTGCTATTTTCCATATAACACTGTTTTAACACATCGAAATCTGTCCCAGAAAAAAAAAAGATGCCAATAATTTTAATGATGAACTTCTTAAAATAAAGGGAACAGTTCTAATTACTTTTTGAAGTGCAAGAAAGAAAGAGAGAGAGAAAGAAACAGGTTTAATTGGTGAAAGGAAAAAGTTGAGGACTTTCTCCAGTGACACTGACCTTCCCCAGACACTTTGTGAGTTTCTCTACAAAGTAAACACATTTATAACATCCTGTTTCAAGATCCTAGCCACTTCTCTGAAGCACAAATTTGAATTACTAAGGTAAAAACCAGAAAAGGGAGCACAGTGAGTTTTAGAATTTCTCATTACTACATCTTTATTTTTAAAGCAGCATATTACCTTATTATTTACCTTTTTGGTTTGAACCAGCTAAGTCGCGAGTGATGTAGAAGATTGGGGAAAGTGAACAATTTTAGCAGCGAAGGTGGTGAGGAACGGAAGACTGAGCTCCAGGATTTCATTTCCCACCAGCGCTAGTGCTCTGCCGGGGGGTGGTCAGGTGACGGCCCAGCGACCTCTGAGAGGAGAACCCAGAGACCAACGGATTCTTGTGTGAAGTCACACAAGAAGTTGGGTTAGGCAGTTCTCCAATTCTGGCCATTCTTGGCAAGAGTTTTATTTTTGATCACTCTAGCTGGGGGCATAACAGCACTTTTGGCAGGGAAGCAGAAAGCAAGCCATTAGTGCTAGACAAACTTGTCTGCTGATTAGTTGTGGAGGTGTAAAGTAAGTTAATTTGGTCAACCAAGTCTTTTAGAAGTGACCCGAGAGCCATTGTTGATGCGCTTGATTATGTTGCCTACTTCTTGGGTTTTCTGGCTCTTGTCCTTGTTCCTTTCACTTCCCAGTTAAGGAGATTCCTAGATAATGAAGTCAGGTTAATCATGTTACTGTTTAACAGGGTCTTGGTTTTACTTGAAGATTTGCCAAGGATTTAGGAGCTGTTGACACTGCCTCAGATACAGTAGTGAGGATAGCAAAGTGCTGCTACTAAGAATATCACAGGGGAAGTGGAAGGATGCCAAATGTGAGTGGAAGGTGCCTGCCCCCATCTTTATTCCTCGGTCTTTCCCGACAGCAGCCAGTTGGAGCTAAGAACCCTTGTTACACGTCTCTCCATGCCCCAGGACTCGAAGGAAAGTGGATCGTGGCTATGGGCAGTTCTTTCCATCTTGGCATCCAGTGCGGTGTCACTTATCCCAAGTGCTAATCGATGCTGTTAACTTTCAGCATTGATGCCAGGAAATAGTATGAGCAAATGACACTCTGCTTATCTTGTCCTAAGAGGCTTTATTTTGAGAAACACACGTATCTTTAGCCAAAGGGCACTAAGGTAACATCTGACTATTTAGTGTGCTTGGAAAGAGGAGGAGGTCTCCTGACATGCAGAGGTTTCCTAATACCTTGTAGAAATTGTTATATACCTAAAAAGCGGGACTTAGCTACTCACCGAAAGAATCAGGCTAAATGTATTATGCTAGTTTATTTCCCCACAAATTAAATAGATATTCTCTACTTATAGAAACTTCTGTTAAAATACAATCTTTCACTGAGTCATTAAAACAGTGTGCTTTTTGTAGTGTGTAATTTTTCACTCCTAATGAAACTATAATGTTTCATTAGTGTGAGTATGTATACATATAGTATGTGGTCATATAGTTAAATAGGCATAATACATCTAAATATTTCAGTCTGGAAAATGGCTTCTCCGCCCACCTGTGTGACTTGTGATAAGTTATTTAACATTTCTGTCCCCAGATTTTATTTGTAAAGTGCTGCCTGATAACCCTGCCTTACAGGCTATTATGAGGATTCTATGAGCTAATACATGTAATGCATTTAGAACTGTGCTTGGCAAAGATTTAGTAATATTACTCATCATTATTATTTTAACTTTATATTATCAATTTTTAAATTTTTATTTCTGTATTTTCTTAATTTGTATCAACCTAGCAAATTAGCTAGATTTAACCATTCTTCATTGGTAATAAATAAGACTTAAAATAATGTTATACTTTTCTCCTCTGTTGAGAATTTTTCCCAACTCAGCAGACTACATAATGAAAAGTCCCTGAGCAAGCCAACTAAGAGCAATAAGGCAATGATGATCTAAACCAATACTTATGAAAAGACATTCAGGAAGTCCGGGACTGTGTGCAGTCACACAAGTTCATTGACCTTGAGGGCTATATGCTAGGAAAATCACTTACATATCTTTTGCTGAAACAAAATTATAGCCTGGCTCATTCTGTACATTGTCACTTCTACCTATCTACCTACCTACCTATCTACTCAAATGCACACACATGCATACACCATCTGTATTCTGCTTGCTAAGGAAAATGAATGAAAACAGTGATATAATCATCTTCAGACATACACAGTTTTATAAGGAAAACTGATATAAAACATTTATTCAGAAATCTAATAAAAACTCATATGATAGTTTTATCATCCATTTCACTTTTATAAGTAACTTAATAAGCCATATAAGGTATGATTAGTGTTTTTTTCATCGAATGGATGTTTGTATTTTCAGGGTGTATTCAAAATGAAATCAAAGTGAATATTTATATTCTTTTATTAATATGCCAATTAGTACTTGATGCCAAAAAAATAAAATCCTTGTTCTTTAGTCAGAGGGGAATGTTCCACATCGATAAATTGATGTGGAAATGTTTTCTTGTTTTGCCGTAATTTGATTTTGTCTTTTAAAGGTTTTAAAGAGTCACTCGTCTTGATATCTCTTCTTTTAATCTAGTACTGAAGTCATAGTTCCACCCATGCTTCTTGTATAAATGAATGCAGCAATAACTGCTATGACTTCAGAATTACATTTGAGATTAGAAACAAAGATCGTCCCTACCCTCTTTGTGGCTTACGTGATCTGTTGTTAGAACTGGAATCATCGAAATGTTGCATGAAACACCCGTATGTGACTCCAAAACATAGTGCCATCTTCACACACTAGCACTTAGCTTTATGAGCAGAGACCAGAAGAAAGTAGATTCAGGGCAAACAGGATTTTAGCCAAAAGAGGAAACAAAATACAATGGCAGTGGAAGGACATGCCTGGGTAGGACACGCAAAGCAGCCTGCTGCCAGCCAAATGTTGGAAAAGTAACCTCAGCAGCCAGTGGTGGAAGCCATGGATGACAAAGCGTACCTTCGTCACCGTTTTTCCCTGGCCATGTTGTCCTCTGGTTTTCAAAGACATGGGCCCCATGTGTTGCAGAGAAGGTTTCAATACGCAAAAGCCTCTTAGATGCTGCTCTACCACTTCATTAAATGCCAAAACGTAGTTAAGTGCTGAGTAGTCAATGTTTGTGTTGCCTATGATTGAATGTATTTTTTCCTGCATGATCATCCATTGTGATGTTTGTAAGTAGCAAACAATGAGCCTGATTTGTTCTCCTTTGTAGAGCCAGGCCGAGGCCCACTACAAAGGAAGTAAACATGCCAAGAAGGTCAAAGCACTAGAGGCAACGAAAAACAAACCCAAAATGGTTTCTTCCAAGGACAGCGCAAAGGCTAATACCAGCTGCTCCATCACTCCAATCACAGGCAACAACTCTGACAAATCAGGTCAATGGCACTTTTTGTTCTTTACGCCTCCCGTGTTCCTCCGTCCCCTGCCCCAGTCCTGTTCTCCTCCACTCAGCTGTTGCATGTTTTCTCCATGATCTGTGTTTGTAATATTAACATGTTTCCTTCACAGGATGTTGTATGTTTGCACGGAATCTAAACATGTGATATGTTGCCATTCCATGTCATGGAGTATATACATTTAAGTATATATGTGTATGTGGATATATATATATATATGTATATATGGCCTATTCCGTCACAGTGTGTTTAGAGAAAAATCAAGAAGTGGATCTGAGATACTGACTTTATTATTCTTTTCTATTCATTTTATGTTTGGTTTTTACTGTAGACTTTTTCAGTGAAGGAATTCTTCAATTTATCTACTAATAGATGATTTTATATTCTTTTACCACAGCGAAGGGGCATGGGGAGGTGTAAAACGGCGACGTTTTCTGAGAGAGTGGCATTATTAAACAAATTGGAGAATAGGTTCAATAATAAAAGATTTAGATTTTTGATGATCTTTGTAGAGTTCCTCTCAGAATTACAAATGAACTTGAGGATTTTAAGGGACCTATCCACAAAGTAATGAATTAACTAACAGGAGAACTTTACCTAATTACAAGTAGGCTACTAGTGGGAGTACCTTTTCAGAAGAGTCCATATTTCATAGTCCCAGTGATTCATCACTTTTTCTGAGTCAGCTCAAGATGATTCAGAGAGAAGAGAAAAAATTCATTTTTCTAGCATGTATACCCCGAAATTGGTTGTTTAATAGGCTGTCACACACTCACATCCGCCCCTCAGGGCCCAAGGTGGCTGAGTCATCTTGTTTCAGTGACCAGTTGAGGATCATGTCTGGTAAAGGGAACTAAGAGAATACACTCTCTCTGTGTTTGACTGTCTCATTAGGGGCCTCTCTGTTGTTGTAAACATACATGAAAATACTCTTTTTGGGTTCTCTTCTGCTCTTCAAGTCACTTTAAATTTTGTGGAAATGACTACAGAATACTTTCCTGTGGCTGCCCAGGGCCTTTGGAGAAGAATAAATCCATTACTGTAAGAGGGAGTTTCAGAAAAGCTTCCTCAGACAAAGACACTGTGTAGGAAGGGACCACTGTCAATTAGGCCCCGTAAATGCTGGTTCCAGAAGCTCTGCAGCCTAGAATGAGTCAGCTAACCCACATTTGGTAATAAAGATGATTTGTTCTTCATGTTGTAGAATCACTAAATCATGTTATCTAGTACATAGAGAATAAATACTGCATTATTATATCACGTTTCTCCCTTTTTAAAGAACAAAGCCTTTCATGGATATTATTTAATTAATTTTTAACCCCGATCTATCAGATGGTAGGGTGAAGTATTGTCCCCAGTTTACAAGATGGCCATCTGAGCGGAGGTCCCTGTTGTGACAGTGGTCTGCTGCGGGTTACCCACCCTTTGGGGGAACGGGTGCCATCATCTCCTGACTTCCCGTCTGGTTTTATTTTTTGCAGTTTGTTGCTGCCTCTGTGACACAGTACTCTGTCAAAGATTCTATTATCTGAATTACAAACTTCATTAGAAAGAAAACATATTTTGTTAAAGGCAGTTAAGTAAGAATAGCTGTCTTCTTTACTTTTTAGAAGTTAGCATAGAATTCAATGTAAAATCCAAAGAAATGGCTTTCTGGTCTCCTAGGATCTATCCCAACTTTTAATGATGCATTAATGGGAGTTCAAAACATGGCAGGAGGGAGAGGAGATGTGCTTGGGGCCAATTGGAGTCAAAACACAGCAAGCATTAGGCATCTTTAGAAAGATGATGAGAACATATTGGCCAGACACTTTACCCAAATTGCTCCCTGGAGTTCAGGTGTCATCATGCCACATGACAGTACACCTCCCTGTGATAGTGCACCCCATACATCAAATGGAGTGGGGCTTGTTTTGGGGGGAGAGGGTGTTGGTGACAGTGTTTAACCTCTCGTAATAGGTTCAAAAAAGCAGATCCTTTGAAAAATCATATTTTTTGAAAATAATAAAATATTGTGATAATCAAACTAATGATAAAAATATTGTGATAGTCAGTCTAATGGCCCATATTTCTAGTCTTTAGCAGACTAGAGACGTGGAAAGGTGCTGGAACCAGTGTGTTCTGTTTGAACTGTAACAACAGGAACACCTTAAATTTGATCTGTGTATGAAACACAGTCACATGTATGTTTTCATATGACCCTCTCAACAATACTGTAACTAGTGGGGCTGAAATTAGTGTTGATCTTTCATTAATTCGTACAACAAACTTTATACCCATTGATTCACTCAGTAAATATATTTCTCTATAATAAGTATAGGAGGTCTGTCTAGAAGGTATCTTATGAAATAGTGATATACTATGAAAAAGAGACATTTATTGAAGACACAAGATACAAGAAACATTGTACATAGGACAATGATGCCTCAGTCCCCTTCAAAGTGGGCACCTCGGAACCTCACACGGTTTTCCCAATCACCATCAGCTGCCCCATAGTGTTTTCCTGAATCTCACTGATGTTCTCAAATCTCTTTCCTTTCAAAGGTGATTTTAGTTTTTGGAAAAGGCAAAAGTCACAGGTCACTAAATCTTGGTTGTAGGGTCTTGGTCACCTGGGTGATTTGATGTTTCACAAAAAAACTCTGCAAGAGACGTGATGCATGAGTGGTCGTGTTGTTGTGATGAAGCTGCCAATCACCAGTTGCCTATAGCTGCAGCCTTCTGAATCATCTGAATAGTCTACAGAGGAATGTGCAAGCTTAATGCAATACATGTATGATGCAGATTTGTTGCTGTACTCACTCAGTCATTTTGAATGAGACAGCCACATAGTACACATGCTCACTCAATGGTGTCTACTGCCCCCACTGACTAGTACAGTGAAGTCATCATTGTTCACATGCATTCCAGTCCACTCTTCTTGGCTGCCAGGTTACATCAATGTTGTGCAAACCATTCTCACTATATTAACAATGGCTGGACTTTTTCCAGACAGACCTCATAGTGTGCTGGTATATTTACCAGATACTGGGGTACAACAAGGAACAGAAAGATATTTTATTGCCCTTAAAGAACTTCCAACCAAGCATGTTTCTTTTTTATTGTGTTGGATATTTGGAATACAAAGAAAAATAATGGTTATCACCTTCAAGCTGCTCCCAAAACTATGATAACAATGAGGAAACTGGGGTCTTAGAAGGGTTAAACAGCCTATGTGAGGTTCACAGTTCATATCCCAGTAGATTGGGGCTGGAACCCAGGGCTTCTTGTTATTCATATCCCATTATTCCCATTACTTCTAAACTTCTCTCTCTGACTCAGGGGCAGGAATCCCAATGGGCAAAATCAGACCACAAAACCCCTTTTTAAAGAATTAGTGAGTACAACCATATATTACTTTTAAATTGCTTGGTGACTCTTGATATTTTTCAGTAGGAGCTGTAGCATGGAAAGGCCCATAAGGCTTCATTTTATTGATCATCTTTAGTTCCTACACAGTATGTTATCTGTAGCATTTAACCTAATAGAGCAAAGCTTTAGACATTACACATCTTTTCAAGGGCAAGTTTGAATGAAAACACTCATTTCAGGTAAATGATAAATGTCCTCAAAGCTCCAGCTTGACAACTGTAGGCTTCCTGTGTCTAAGCCAAACACACTGACTGAGGTGGAGGTCAACCACACAGGGAAGGGCATCGAGCCGTGAACTGCCTCCTGAAGAGCGCCCTTGAGTTGTCCTGGACACTGTCCAAATTTTCAGTACCATTTTGCATTATTCCATCTCAAATATTCCCACGGGGGACATGGAGATTGTTTTATTTCCCTGTACCTGTGACCATACCATGAACACTGTGAGATGACAGTGTCAAACAAGACATAAGAAGGGAGGAAAGAAAATAGGATTCCTCCAAACAGCTCATTTCGGTTTTCAGTAGGCTGTCCTTCCGCACGGTGGCAATCTCTCGGGTGTGAACCCAGAGCAGTTATCAACTTGCTGATCAGTATGATTTGCCTGGAAAGGCTGCAAGTTCAGCTTTTTATGATCACCCTGTTGCCTTATGAAAGAGCATTTTCAGTTTTGTCAAAGGGTTTTTCTGCCAAGGCTACAAATGCAGACCCTCACCTCGTCACTTTTATGGATTCCCCTGTGTGTTTCACAGTTTTTATGTGTTGTTGCAAATGGGGCCAGGTTTTCCAAATGACAACTTCTCATTTCCACTGGCTGCCGCAGGACTCTGTCAATTAGCAAACAAGGTCTTCGGGACTGCCTCTTCCCCCCACTTCCATCTCCAGCAGCAGGTCCTTGTGCTATTGAGTAGGAAAAAATAATAGTTTTCTGCTCTGGCAGCATCTGTCATTTATAGACAAGCACCATCATAAATTTGGCATACATCTATCCAAGTCCAGGAGGCTGAAATTTAGTATCCCTCATAAAATAATAGATTAACTATATTTATGACAGACATCTTAAGTCTGAAATTCTGGGGTACAATTGTGTAGAACGTAAATTGATTCCCATCTGTCGAAGGAGAACAGACCATTATACTAAGGCTCATATTTTCATGAAATGTACATAAATCATTAAGGCTTTCAAAGTCAATTTAAAAAATGAAACTGCCTCCATCATTGCCCATGTACCTTGAATTTGACACAGCAACCTGCCAGGCAAGGCTGAAGATTTTTAGGTAGTTAGTTGTTTGTCATACTTTGGAAACTAATTTCTGAAACTTTCTAGCATTTTTTTTTGCTTCCAAATTATCCTGAGCATTTATTGTTAGGTTTTCCACTTCTAGATGCTGTTACCCACTGTTGCTTTAAGAATGTGAACCAAAAGTTAAGACTGACTTATAATTTACTGAGGATCTATTAACTTATGATTTACTAGCAATATGTTATAAACCATTCTACAAAACAAATTCTTGGATATCTCCTTGAGACTTCTATCAATATTAAAAACTTTTCTGCACTTAAAGATATTG